AAGTATTAAAACAAACAAAACTGCCGTAGTGTCACAGCTAATGAAATAGTTTAACAATTCATTCTTCTAGTGCCTGATCTTGTTTACAATTGTAGACTACTCAATTAAACGCATCTTAATAGTAATAATGTGCACACATATATGTCCCTACATGGGAGCCAATAAAGTTACTAAAAAACAATTGATTTTCCACAAATTATCACTACTTAAATTTCAGGTGTAGGCATAAGATTTTTCTGCTAGTTTAATTTCAATTGTGACTGAAATAATTGTGACTGCTGTGAAATATAATGGGATTCTTTAATGTGCAAGAACTACTTCGTCGAATATCATGTTAAGCAATCGTATCAATCGTGGAGCCTTTCTAGCAATGCCGACGTCAAATCGTGGCTCTATTAACAGCGACCCATGTACGGTCTTCTACAATCAACCAATCGTGGCCCCTCTAGAATTCGAACGCGATTGTGTCAGCCTTCTAACAATTGACGCCCAATCGTGAGCCTTTCTAACAATTGAGCCATATGATCAATTAGTGGTCCTTTCAGCAAATCGACCATCGTGGGCCTTCTAGGCAATTGACGCAATCGGGGCTTTCTAAGCAAAATCGCCCAATCTTGGGCATTCTAACAATGCGACTCTAATCGCTGGCGCCATCTATCAATCGACCATCGTGGGTTTATAACAATGCAAACCAATCGTGAGCCTTCTAGCAGTCGGCCATTGTGAGCGCTTTCTAACAATCACACAAATCGTGGGGCCTTCTAATAACGATCGGCAATCGTGGGCCTTCTCACAATTGAAACGCAATCGTGAGCCTACTAACAATCACCTCAATCGTGAGCTTTTCACTGTGACCAATCGTGAAATGCATTTAAACATCGACGTGCAATCATGAATCTTTTAGCAATGTATTATATTAAACATGCGATTATAATTAATCATCATCCATCATCATCATTAAGGGACCAGTAGCCTCTAGGATTTTACTGGCATACAACTGTACTTACTGTATACAAAGCGTCTATACCCACACGTACGTTGTTCCGCAAGATACCTAATTTAATTGCTTATAATTAATTTATATCATCAACAGCTACGAAATTTGAATTGGCGCACATTGACACCCCGCGACCGTGCTGCCTACCCTGGAAAAGTTTGGCGGCGATTTGTCAATTTATTTTGCACGGTTACAGACGAGGGCTAATCACAAACGTGCAATTATATTATTACCTAAGATGCTATTAACCCGAAGCAATGTTCATTTTAGACAAATTTATCCATAAATATAACTGAAAACTATATGTCGTTTTATAAGATATTACAATCCTTTTGCTTTAAATAAATAAAATAAGAAACACCCTCGACGTCTGTAGCCCTTTGCTGAAATTCGTTTTGCGCAACTTACCAGATTGTGGCGCTTTGAGTTGACGCGCCACCGTCGATTGTAATCAAACGTGTAGTCGTTAGTTTTTATAAACATTTTTATAATATTTTCTAATGGTGATATTGAACCATGAAACTTGTTTATGTAGCGTAATTTTAACCTAAATTAACATGAAAATCAACCCTAGAACCTAGAGTAAACGATCCCTTATCATTAATTGACTTAACTCACACTTGATCACTTTACCTACTTACAGTACTTTTCTCTCACATTCTTACCTAACCTTTTAATTGTACATGCTCATAGGGCTATGTCCCCCAGGGTAACTGTCGCGGAACGTACCCTGGTTAATCCTTATCCGAACGTACCGGTAAATATTGTATGGTTAGGCGTTAGGTTAGGTTGGAGTTAGGGTTAGTGTTGCTTTCAGGGTTAGGGAGTAGCGTAGTGCACTGCCTAGGAAGCTCGTTTAATGAGTAAGCGAGGTACGGCCGCATATAAGATAGTACCAAGCAGAGTTGATTATTGCTTTTGTTTGTTTTGGGCTGGTAGCAGGAACGTTCCGGTATATCCGGACGTACCTCAGGGTACGTTCCGCAGTAACCGCTGTGGGAGCATAGACCGTCTCATCTGCACTTATAGTTTTAATGTATGAGGCATACAGTTTGTTTGTGATGGTGGCTTAAATATCTCTACCCTGCGGAAATTCACCTAATGCCACCCTAGACCTATGTAAAATACTCAAAAAATAATAATCGCTATGCACTATTTCGTTCTGTCATTATTGTTGTTATTTTCAAGCAATTAATGTCTATAATCTCTAAAAAGAATTTAAAAATTCTGACACCGACTGCGATCACAGGCCCTCCTATTTTCACTGGCACAGAGGCCCATTTTAATAACAAAAGATTTTTGCTTGATCTCTAATGCATCGGTTCATTATTGCCTACACGAAATTTCAACATGACGGTCAGCATGTCTTTTTCACGTTGATTAGCGGGCATTTGATAGCAAATACACGGGAGTAGACTTCGTTAGAAGCAGCCATTATTCCCTTACCATGAGGACGTAGGCTACACTGCGTTGGGGTTGCTGCAGTCCTCAAAGAGAGACATCGAACTCCGATGTTAATGTCGGTAAAACGAGGAATTCTTGGACCAGTGCGGTAGCTAGATTTTCTCCATGCGGGTGGGGCACTGGGGTGGGGGGGCTTACATTTCGTGGGGGGGGGGCACAATATTATAACTTTTCTTGTAATAACCGTTCTAACGCTTGTTTTCAAAATTTCAATTTTTTTTATCAAGCAATGAATTTTTATTGGGGGGGGCACAGAAAATTTGTGGGTGGGCAAGAGCCCCCGGTAGCTACGCCCCTGTCTTGGACATGTACCGGACACGAGTTATTACATCGCACATGTGAATAAGCAGAGGGTATCTAGTAATTCGATTTCGGCGAAATTACTGAACGCGTTTATAATGAGCGTCTGCGTGGCACGTATGTGTATGGTTAATAGCGATTTACATCTTGTCGCATCAGATGTACGAATAGATACGTTTATATAAGTATGTAATGTAATGTGAATGTGACATGAATGTGAGGTAATTGTAATGTAATGTAATGTGATGTATCATGATGTGATGCAAATGTAGATGTCATGTCAAAATGTAGTGTTATTGTAATGTCATTTATGTATGAATTGTAATGTAATATGATAGAAGCTAGGCTGTTCACGACGCTGATCCGTTGTGAGTTAATCGCAGGCTCTACTAAGTAACAAACTCTCCTACGATTTGTCGCAATGTCTACGCGGTCAAAGCTACCGCGGCATCCATCACAATGTCTCGTTCGCAAAACCGTATAGTATGTGGAATCTGGTATGAACTGGTATATGCAGCGGGGACCGTACGTCAAGGGTGGCTTCTTCTATTCTTAATGAGTTCTACTGATAGAAATGTTGTCCCATAGAATCTATGCTAGGATAACTCCTCTTACACGAGCACCGTTTCAGGCGAGCAGTGCGGACTGAAGAAAACTGTATAACATAGCGTGCTGAGAGAGAGAGAGAGAGAGAGAGAGAGAGAGAGAGAGAGAGAGATGAGAGAGAGAGAGAGAAGAAGAGAGCATGAGCATAGTGGCTGACCGAGGAATGTCGGCAAGGGCGGACGCGGTGCACAGCTACAGCATCGGCGACGTCGTGCGATGCCAGGACGCCGACACCGCCCCCGACCTGCTGCCCTGCGGCTACCTGGTCGGAGAAAACATGCAGATCAAGCTGAGCATCAGGGGTAAGAGCACACACGCGTGGACGCACGCGCGCACTCACACCCACGTACGTGCACACGTCACACAAACTGCCGTACGTGCACACGCCACACAAACTGCGCATACTGTTGTCAGGATGTCTTACGCGTAACGACTAATAAACACATAGTTGCGACGCATACGTAACGTCAGCGTAGTTTATCCGCTTTTGCTGACGCCGATGTTATGACATTTTTTCATTCTAGTTTCACATATTTCATATTTCAGTATGATTTAATCATCGATGGTTATTGAGTAGTAATGTCACCGCGTGCTTCTTTAATGAAACTCCGCGCGACGGCGTGATCGTATTTATGTTTTAGCACCTTGCGAAGGAGTAACCCGGCTCGCGGATATAAAATACAACTCGTGATACGCAACACAACACCGTAATTTATAGGATACGCACGCATATGATATTTATTAAACCAAATCCACCCATCACCGTACACTTCGATAAACCATGCGACTTCCTCGCGAGACCGCCCCGTCCGAAACCGATAACGTTCACTCTAACAATGCTCCACACCATCTATAACGTTTCCTCTAATCATAATCCCAACCATCTATAACGTTCACTCTAACCATGATCTAAACGACCGAGAATGTTCACTCTGATCATAATCAAAAACAACCGATAACGTTTACTCAATAAGTAACAGTACTGCGTAAGTAACTGACATAGAAAGGAAACCATATTTACGTATATGTCATAGCTGGTTGTTGGTTCGGCTCGACCGTCGCACTGTCTCTCCTGTACTTGCTCCCTCCTCTCTGTTCTCCTAGCTTATTTATATTCTCTACCCCCTGTGTGACCCGGCTCTCCTCCGGTCGATGGGCGTACCTGTCCTCTCCCTTTGTCTCTCGTCCTGCCTCTGTTGTTCTACTTCGAACTAGGTTAGTGATATCACGTACCACCCTCGAACGGCTGGCACTGCCCGGTGTCGGTCAGTTATGTAACGGCCGTTCCAGCTCGGACCGATACTGGGTTACAGTATCAATTATTGACCTATCAATCAAAGTCAATATCACGTCCTGCTCAAATATTGTTGCTTGTTCGGTCAAGCCAGACCAGTTTATCCGTGTTTCTCACTCGTGTACGCATCACACAGGCATACGCACACACCAAATTAGTTAGTATTGCGGCTATTGCCTTATAGGTGTCAGCTAAGCACTCTGTGCTGCTAACTACTAAGTAATGCTCATGCATCAATACGTGTGGAATCCGCGAACTTGTAACACAAACATCGAGCAAACCACTTACTTGGTTTCTTCAGCCGACACCCATGCACGCGTAATGAATATTGTCTGAGAATAATGTGAATAGTGAATGTTTAATTGTCAATAAGAATTGCATACGGAAAATTTATCGGGATGACCATAACCAAAATAACTAATCGCATAAGGAATTACATGATTTTCTGCAATAGATAATTTCAAGAGCGTATTAAGTATAATAACCTAACTTAATACGCTCTTGATAATTTCGATAATATTATGTATTTGGAGGGTAGTTCGTATTAGCATCTTATTTTCTAATCTACTGAGTCGATTATCTTAATCGGTACGTATTAATCCAGATCGTCAAGCCGAGTTACGAATGATACAGTGATTGAAATATGTGCACTACTTAGTGCAGACAGCACAGGTGATCTCCCGTCCATTCACGTAGTTTGGACATGGCAGTGACCCGCAGTGAGCCTCCACGGGGTACCACAGACCTCCGTCCTCGTTTCCATCTCCCGACGAATTCACCTCTGGATCCTCATCCACGCACACGAAGTTTGACCGACCCTTGTGGCTGTTGTGCGACGACATGAGGTAGCTGGAGCATACAAGGGCAAATATTAGGATTATCCATTGCAGTGAATATCGCAATATTTTATGCAGTTGCTATAAGCAAGTAAATGTGAACATCTGCTATTTCGACGCGGTAGTAAACAACACTAGCAGCAACATTCACGCTGCCGTCACCTTTATCGCTACCAGGTACGAACTTGCAATTTGTCGCCAGCGAGACATAACACGTGTATTCATGTATAGCAAGATGTTAATTTATTGATTACTCGTCTAGTCTGTCCATACCGATCAGTCTATTGTCATATATTTTTAATAGTGGTTGTTTATTTTAGTGTTCCTCACCCATTAGCCCAGTATTATACGTATTAACAAGCCATAAACTATAGTTTCTGGGCTCTTGATAATATTATTATTAGTAGTATACTCGAATCTTCCATACCCATGGTATTCTAGTGACCAACTCGGAGGGCATGTGTTCCAGGCAGGGATCATTTGTTCGCTGGCACGATCGGGTACACGGCACACTGCGCACACAGCGTTCTGATCGAGTAACTGCTTGCCTGATAGAGGACTCGACAGGAACGGGTTGAATGTATTGACTTGGTATTCCACTCCATACCTACCGCGATTGAAGATTTGACGCGATCACAATCCATAATACATTTAAAGCCGTAGCGTCGGCCTACTTTTTCTGACACGAATAAATGGCGTTTAAAAGTTTCACACTTTTATGCTCGTGTGCTCGCTCGCTCGCTTGCTCATTTATGCACTAATTCCGTGACTTAATCACTCATTAACTCATTAATTCATTCACTCATTCATTCGTCTCGGAAATAAAACAAACGTCTAGGACTTACATGTAACTGTTTGACTGGAATCCATCTTGGAACCTGCCCCACTGCGGGACTGAGGGGAGACATTGGTAGTTCCCACCTCCCCCGTGGCGCTCGTAGTAAGCACTGCCTACCACGCCTAATCGATGCATGTAAAAGTATCGGCATGTCATTCCCTCAATCAATTTTTATATATTGTACGCTGATTGGAAGGAACTGCAGTTTCTACCGAACGCGTGTCAATAAAGAACCGTTGTTTGAACTAGTTCCTGGGGGAAGATTGCATTTTCGTGCTTCGGCTCGGTAATAACAATGGAGGGGCGCGGTTTATTTTGCCGGACGCTCGTAGGTGAGCAGCTTTTTTGCATAGTTTGTTGGAGATGTCCACTCCAACAATGAGTTTTTCATTGCTGACGTTCTCAGTCACAGTGTAGACGCACTGCGAAGCCGGTTGGAAGGGCGTCCGACCTGCACCGGCCCACAGCGGTTTGTTGTACCTGCTGTCCCCTTCGACTCGTAGGGCGAGAGGTCGCGCGATTCATTCCATGCTCTTACACGACCTCGTACCAAGCCCATGTCCTTCCAGTTTAGCTCGGCTATTGCCATGCCAACCTTGTTCGTATTTTCTTGCATGCTCGACTCGCCAGGCGGAGGCACGTTCATCGATCCGAAAATGCGCCGCATGCCTGCACAGCCGAGTTGCGTCGACATGAGGCCGACGTGCATGCCGACGTTTGGCGCTGCGGTTCTTCGTCCCCTGCATTACGATGGCACTTCGTCGTAAAGTTTGTGCTTTGGCGACTTGTACGAGCACGCTTCGCACCTCAGCGCCTCGCACCAGACCGCTCCTCTATGCTCCTGTGCGTCTTCGTCCCACACGAGGTCTCCGTCGGACGGTGGCCGGCGTGCTCCCGGAACAACTGGTTCTACATCTGCGCCAACTTCGCTCTGTTGTATAGCCGGTTGTCTCTCAGGTCAGCCCCGCCCTCGCTCTGTAGGGTCTTCCCAGATCACACACCTTCCGTACAGCTGCAACGTACGCAACGAAGGCATGCGTTAATTATACACGCGTAAGTTATCAGCCTTTGTTTTTGGACGTACGTAGAATGTTCGACTCTGTACATGATGCGCATGCAATGTGCGAAGTAACGTAGGTATATCGTACATACGTGGCATGGTATCAACCAATGGGGAAGGGGGAGGGGGGATTTCCATAGGTAAACTTTGCACATGATCATCATCGTGTGATCATCATCGTGTGCATGTGGTTCATCAATCAATCAATCAATCAATTCATTCAACCAATTTGAATCAAATTCGATTCACCGTTATCGACACGAGGTGTTGCCACATGAAACCGTATTTATTTGCAGAGGACAGTAACCTCGGAAGAGAAATGTCAGCAAACAACAGTAAAGTCAGATAACAGAGGGCCCGGGGGTATAGAGCAGGTAGTATATCATGTGTCTAGAAGCGCGTAACGTACCTGCAAGCCCTCACGCACTGCCTCCAGCAGGTAGGGCACGACCGAGTAATTCCACAGGTCTGTGAACCAAACCTGTGCACCAGATACCTCCATCGGGCAGGAGAGAAACAGACGCGGGCCTATCACAAATAAAATAGCATTGAGTCATTAGTGTCGGCGAAGATTTTTAGACTATTTAAAAATTACTTCCTCATTCAGCAAAACTTGTCTGTAATCAAGAGACAATCAGTTAGCAGGTACCACTATAGGGTACGGGTAACAGTGTATACACGCGCACGCACGCACGCACGCACACTTACATGTAATGTGAAAGCAAGTGTTAATTTTGCCGATACATGTACACTAACATATGAGAACGTGAGCGTAAGCATAACGTGATACTTTTTCAAATACATGTACGTAACATCCATACGTACATTCGCCTTCTCCCTCTCTCAGCCCCCTCTCTCTCCTCCTTCCTCGTTTCCTCTTTTCTCGCTCTCCTCCCCTCTTTGCTCTCGTTCTCTCTTTCTCTCTCTGCCGGGAGAGAGGGGGTGGGGCGCGAGGAGCAGGATAGGAGAGGAGAAGAAGGAGAGGAGAGGCGGCAGAAGAGGAGAGGCGAGGAGGAGAGGTGGCGGAGGAGGAGGAGAGGAGGAGGAGAGGAGGAGAGGAGAGGAGGAGGAGAGGAGGGGAGGAGGCGAAGAAGAGAGATGAGAGGAGAGAGAAGAGAGAGAGAAGGCGAAGAAGAGGGACGAGAGGGAGAGGGCGAAGAAGAGAGATGAGAGGAGAGAGAGAGGGACGAGAGGGGAGAGAGGGAGAAGGTGAAGAAGAGAGATGAGAGGGAGAAGGCGAAGAGGAGAGACGAGAGGGGAGAGAGGGAGAAGGCGAAGAAGAGGGACGAGAGGGAGAAGGCGAAGAAGAGAGATGAGAGGAGAGAGGAGAGAGGGAGAAGACGAAGAAGAGAGAGGAGAGGGGAGAGAGGGAGAAGGCGAAGAAGAGAGGAGAAGGAGGGAGAAGGCGAAGAAGAGAGGGACGAGAGAGAGGAGAGAGGGAGGAGGCGAAGAAGAGAGATTAGAGGGGAGAGAGGGAGAAGGCGAAGAAGAGAGATGAGAGGAGAGAGGAGAGAGGAGAAAGAGGGAGAAGGCGAAGAAGAGAGATGAGAGAGGGAGAGAGGGAGAAGGCGAAGAAGAAGAGAGAGGATAGAGAGGGAGAAGGCAAAGAAGAGAGATGAGAGGAGAGAGAGGAGGCGAAGAAGAGAGAGGAGCGAGAGGAATGAGAGGGGAGAGGGATATGACAACATTCTATCAGTAGAACTCATTAAGAAATAGGAAGAAGCCCCCTTGCACGTAAGGTCCCCGCTGCATATACCAGTCAGTACCGATTCACATACTATACGTTTTTGTGACCGGACATTGTGATGGATGCCGGCGATATCTTGAACCCTGCATTAGACATTGGACAAATCGTAGGAGAGTCTTGTTACATTGGAAGAGTTGCGATACTCACCCAACGGTCAGCGTCGTGAACAGCCTAAGCTACTATCATATTACATTACAATTCATTACATTACATTACATAACACTACATTACATTACATTACATCACATCACATCACATCACATCACATTACATTACATTACATTATATAAACGTATTATTGTAATCTGATGCGGCAAGTGTAAATCGTCCTAAACATACACATACGTACACGCGACGTCCTATAAAAGCGTTCAGTAATTCGCACGAAATCGATTAACCTAGATACCCTCGTGCTTATTTCACATGTGCGATGTATACTCGTGGTCCCGGTATGTCCAAGATCCTCGGTTTTACCGACATTCCAGCGGAGTTCAATGTCTCTCTATTGAGGACTGCAGCCAACCCCAACGCAGTGTAGCCTACTCCTCCACGGTGAGAATAATTGGCCGCTCTAACAATCCTACTCCCGTGTATTGCTATCAAATGCGTAATCACACGTGGAAAAGACATCTTGACCGTCATGTTGAAATTTCGTGTGGCAATAATGAACACAGATGCATTAGAGTCAAGCAAAAATCTTTTGTTGTAAAATGGGGCCTCTATGCTCAGTAGAAAAGGCAGGGCGCTGTGATCGCAGTGGTGTCAGAATTTTTAAATTCTTTTAGAGATTAGACATAATGCTATGAAAATAACAACAAATAATGACAGCGAAAAATAGTGCATTAGCGATTATTATTATTTTGAGAAATTTTACATAGGTCTAGGGTGAGCATTAGGTGATTCCGCATAGAGATATTAAGCCACCATCACAAACAAACTGTTGCCCCCTACTTAAACTATAAGTACAGCTGAGAGGGTCTATGTCCCCCAGGGTACTGCCGGAACGTACCCTGGGTACGGTCCGGTATACCGGAACGTATCCTGGTACCAGAGCATATAAATCAACGTGATTTATATGCTCTGCTGGTACTATCTAATATGCCGGACCGTACCTCGCCTACTCCAAGAATAAGAGGGGCGAGAGAGGGAGAAGGCAAAGAAGAAGAGAGAGGAGAGAGAGGGAGAAGGCGAAGATGAGAGGAGAGAGAGGGAGAAGGCAAAGAAGAGAGGAGAGAGAGGGAGAAGGCAAAGATGAGAGGAGAGAGGGACGAGAGGGGAGAGAGGGGAGAGAGGGCCCCCTTGCAAAAATTTAAGCAATCCACAAGCAATCCACAAGCGATCAAATAAGCACTCAATGGTGCAGAGGATCGCTTATCTGATTGCTTATTAAGCAATCAGGACCGATCATTGATTACTTAATAAGCAATCAGGACCAATCATCAATTGCTTGGGACCGATCATCGATTGCATAATAAGCAATCGGGATCGATCTTCGATTGCTTAATGAGCCATCGGGTACCGATCATCGATTGCTTACCCGATCAGTCCCGATTGCTTATTAAGTCCCGACGATCATTTAAGCTATCCTCTGCACCATTGAGCGCTTATTTTAAGCAATCATTGATCTCTTGATCAGTCCCAAGAGATCGACGATTGCTTATTCATCATGACGAAATCCAGGTGCTCTCAGGACCATCGCTGATCATTTAAGCAATCAATGATTGCTTAAAATAAGCGCTCAATGGTGC